AGTGGTATACTCGAAATAAATATTTCTTTTATGCCTGCATGTACATAAGATTTTATGTCTGGGTGTACAAATTTTTGAAACATCGTATTAAAAATTTAGGAAATTTAAAAGAATAAAAAAATAAACTCATTAATGAAAAATATATAAAAAAATACTTAAATTATATAAAATTTTAAAGTTTTCAAAGAATACGACGTCTCCGAAATATCTTTTGGTTCATACCATCGTAAATTTTAAAATAATGCGACAAGGAGAGTCGTGGAAATGACAAAAGAGAAGATATGGGTATGGGGTTGGTGCCATGATTTTGAGAAAGAGATGACAAAAAACAAATGGTGTTTAAATCCCATAAGAAAGGTTATTAGGTGCAATCTAAAGGGCAATGCGTCTAAGGGCAATGAATTTGTTCCCTTTGTGTTATGCTTGCCCCATCAAGTTCCCTAATGGGGGATTAAGCAACTAGAAACTATTAAATAATATCACATTTATTTAATATTATCAAGTTTAACAGCTCTTCAAACCTCTACTTTCTTTTTCTAGATCTTGTAAAAGGAAGAGGGAAAAAGCCCTTTTCACACTTGAGAAAACATCTAGTCTATATCAATTTAGGGTGTTTTTGTTTACTTTTTATTCCTTTTAGGGTGTTTTTGAACACTTATTATATAATCGGATTTAGTTGTAATTATATAGTTGTGGTGTATTTGGACTATCATTATAATTTACAAGTTTCGTTGGATTTAATGCAATGTGGTCTATGTTTATAATCTTTCTTAACTATTAACAACGCATACACCTTGAAGACTTAAATGTTTGAACCTTGGACCTCTAAGGAGAACAATACTTCTTTAACAACTGGGATCACTTGATGAGTTCACTTTTTTAGTTATTAAATTTAGGTAAGCTTGCATGTTTAGTTTCCGTGACCTTTGAAAACCAATAAAGTTAACGACGTGTTAGTGAAAGAATTGAAAATATAATGATATTTGATGGTTTAAGGACTAATATAGAATGTTTTAAAATTTAGATATAATGATATTCGATAGTTTGAGGATTAATATAGAAAGTTTTAAAGTCTAAGGACCAATTTAGAATGATGGTTATATTTTAAAGACTGTTATAAAATTTAAAGATTAGGGACCATTTTAAAATGCCACTTGGCTTTAATTAACTCTGGGATCCACTGGAGCATGAGAATATAAGCACCGTCCAAACAAAATCCTTAAACAAAACAAAAACACAAAATTCCTCCGACCAAAGAAAAATGCAAATTAAAGATTTGAAAAATACACTATGAGTGGGAATAGTTATTATTCGTAAAAGTCGTAGATTCAAACACGACATTTATAAGAGCATTTAAGTGTTCGTCGTTATATGATTGGAAAGAAAAATATATAAAAGATATGAATTGTTTCGGATTCGAATTGTAATATTTGATTCTCTTAAACTTTTTATAATATTTATATTTATATGAATTTTTTTACATATAAAAATAAAGAATTAAAATTAGGTTACGTTAAATTTCATGTATAATTTATTTTTATTAATCTTACTTTAATTATTTTTTTCACTTATAAAATTATAACAGAAACCAGTTTTAATATTTTATTTCACATCGATATTCTTATTTGGAGATTATGGAAGAATCGAAACTGTTTCGTGTTTCAAGGCCAAATTTGGTCGTACATAACCACCATTCTGTCGGCAAAAGCTTGAGCTTAAACTGTCGAGATTCACCGACCCACTCATGCTACTCGGTCGACCACTGGAGCTGGCAACACTCAATGGAAAGCACCCGCGCCTGAATCCCTCAAGCTCAATACCGACGGCGCTATGAATCCCTCGACGATGGAGGCTACATGTGGTGGAGTTATTCGGAACAACTACGGTGACTGAATTGCAGATTTTAGCAGAAGGATAGGACGTTGCTCAGCCCTTCAAGCTGAGCTCTAGGCCGTCCATGACGACCTCAAGGTAGCCTGGTCCCTCGACACAAACCAGATTCAAGTGGAGCTCGACAGCAAAGAAGTGATCAGTAGCCTCACAAGTCCTCCCTCCCTCAATGAATTCTCTCTTATAAGGAGGATCCGAGGTGGGGTTTATCCTCGAGAAGCAAATAAGGTGGCCGATGGTCTCGTCAAACTCAGTCGCACTGGAAACTTGGGAGGTTCCGTCCTACTACACCCTCCAATGGAAGTTCAACGCATATTCAAGTCTGATCAAACAAAACTGAGAAGAAGACCCTACCAATGATTCCAGTGGTCCTCTACTGCTACCAAAAAAATCATAATTTTGTAAGTATTAAATCAATGAAATAATTAAGTCAAATTTAGGGTTTAAATATATACATTTTACTTATTCAATATGAAAGATAATAGAACCAAATCTCATTGATTTTGAACGGTCCGGTTCACAAGTTTTCTTTTCCCTTTTATTTATTTACAGAAACCACTAATTTTATTAAAAGTAGAAAAATATCCAAATTACAATGAAGGTTTGTAACCACAATCGTAAATTAAACACATAATAAAGATATTTTACTAAACACGAAAAAACTAACGACTTAAGATAACAATGACCATACAAGGAAAATGTTAAAAAACCTAATCATATAAACTCAGACAAACGATAGATACATATTTGAATGTATCGATAAACGAACCACAAAATAAAATGAAATTATTGAAAGGTCGTCGACAAACTGTAAATCAGAATTGAAAAACGTGAAAATACTATCCACGAATGTAAATCGCGTATCCAAATCCAATCCGATGGTCCAAAGCAGGAAAAATCAACATGATAACAAATAAAACGCCATATTGATCAATCGTAGCGATTTCAAATTCAACTCTGAAAAAAAAAGAATAAACGAAAATAATTATCAAACGACCGAAAATGTGTCATACAGGCAGAGAAAAATTAGTCATAAAGGCAAAAATATTAAAAAACCGTATAATAAAGTAAAGGAAAACAATGGGTATCGATTGTCGACGATCAACACTAAAACTGATATCTTCGTCGATCATAAATATGAAAAAAAAGGACTAACGACGACTAAAAGAAAAAAAGAAAAGTAAAACAAACAACAAAAAGAGCTAAAATAAATAACTTTCTTTTTTTCACAAAGCAAAATTTCCGGTTCATAAGTTTTCTAAACATATATATTTTTTAATAATTTAATCGGATTTTATAAAATATGATCGAATATTATAATTTAAATTGGGTTTCCAAGCCTAATCCATAAGTATTTGGTTTGCCTAATTAATATATTCCCACTGTTTATGAACAAACCCTAAATCGGAATGGAGTGTTTGAACAGCAATTTGTCCATAAAATATTTTACATAATTACAAACCTACATAGGCACAATTTTAGACTTTCCCATATGGAGAACTAATAAATTAAGCTTCAATAGAAGGGGGAGTCAAAAGTGTCAAACTTTTTGCGGAAGGAAACGCTCACGTGTGGCGTCTTAGTATACGGTTAAAATAAGACGTTATCAGTTTTTTATTATTATTTTAAATAACAAAATCGATAAAAAAAATAACCGAAAACATCATTATTTTGACCGGTTCTAATTACATATATAGGTAAACGCGGTAAAAAATTCAGTCAAAAAAAGATGTTTTCGGTAAAGCGCTACCTAAAACATCAATTTTTGACCGGATTTTTTTTACCGCATTTACCTATTTATGTAATTAGAACCGGTCAAAATAATAATTTTTTGTCATTTTTACCGGTTTTGTTATTTAAAATAATAATAAAACCGATAACGCCTTATTTTAGTCGTATACTAAGGCGCCGCACCGCAGAACTACCCTCTATTTTCAAATCATATACAATATACTACTAAGTAGGTATAGAGATAGACTCGGATTCAATGAGTTACAATTTGATCTTATAAGATTGAGATTTTATTTTTAAAAAAAGTAGGTTTAGGTTGCTTTTTTTTAAGTATAATGTCGGGTGATTTTGATTTAAAGTAAAAAAATCTTGATTACACTCTATTCCAGAAAAGTATCTCTTATATATTCATGGATAATTACAATAATACTTATTTATATATTTTCTTTCAATTAGTCCCTATTTTGCCTTATATATAATTGTTTTAGATTGAGTCGGTTCGAATGTTGATTTTTACCCAAAAAAAAATCGGGTTGTGTGGAGACATGGAGCATCCCAAAACTTGGATCGGGTCAGGTGATCGATGAAGGGGTAGAATGCTTGAATCGAGTTCCAATAGACCAAAAATTTAACCCGACACGACCCATATTCATCCCTACTACCAAGCTTTTATTAAAGAAAAAAATAACTTTTAGTCCCTCAACTTTAACATTTTTTCTCAATTTAGCCCCAATTTTATTTTTGGATCCACGTTAATCTAAAGCTAACGTTTTGAGATTATGTTACGTCATCAAAATGACTAGATATAGTAGAAGAACCAAGTTCACGTCTATTTCCGACAAATAAATTTTAGGGGCCAATTTGAAAATATTGTCAAGTTTAGTCACTAAAAGTAAGTTAACCCCTTAATTAAACTCAGGCTGGTGAATATTAGAAGTCCTTGAACTATGTTCAAATGATCATTTTAGCTATTGAATTTTCAAAAGTTACAAAATTTTCATTAGATTTATCGAACTGTTATAAAATTATCATTAGATTTATCTAACCGTTAGAAAATAGTCGCTAACTTTATCAAATTATTAAAAAAATAGTCATCAAAATTTTAGAATCATTATAACATTGAAATGACCATTTTGTAGCAAATTGACCAAATTTGATCATCATTTTGCAACATTTAAAAGTTCAATGAACAAAATAATCATTTGAGAATAATTCAATGACCATTATTATATTTAAACCCCCAATTAAGTTCTATTGCGGCTTTGCTTCCCTCTCTCTCTGTGTGTCAGAAAAAAACCTTAATTACCATCTTTCCACCATTTTCAGTCCAAACTTCATCTATAAAAGCACCCCATCTACCTTCCCTGTATAAATAAAAAGGCTTCCCTTTTCTCTCCTCTCCCAACAGATCATCTCTTATCATCAAAACCAGAAGAGAAAAGAAGATTTGATCCATTTTGTGTTCTCAAATGGAAGATTTTAAAGCAAGGGGTTGCACGAGAAAGGTTCAAAGCAGTGAAGAAGATCAAATGGATTTGGTTCGTGGTCCTTGGACTGTTGAAGAAGACTTCAAGCTCATCAATTACATTTATGTTCATGGCGAAGGTCGCTGGAATTCCCTTTCTCGTTGCGCAGGTAATTTCTCCTTTTTTTCTGGTTTGAGATTTTAGGTCCAATTCTTGTTTTAGTCCCTACGATAATATAAAACTTTACCAAAAAACTTGAACTTTACAGATCTGAAGAGAACTGGGAAAAGTTGTAGGCTGAGATGGTTGAATTATCTACGCCCTGATATTATACGTGGGAATATTACTCTCGAAGAGCAGCTTTTGATTCTTGAGCTTCACTCTCGTTGGGGAAATCGGTAAATAAACTGTTTTGAAATCTTTTTTTCCACTAAATTGTCATGTTGTTGATGATGTTTATTTTCAGACAATTCACACAGGCTTTTGTTGTTGTTGTTGTTGCTGCAGATGGTCGAAAATCGCGCAGCATTTTCCGGGAAGAACCGACAACGAGATCAAGAACTACTGGAGAACTCGTGTCCAGAAGCATGCTAAGCAACTCAAATGCGATGTCAGCAGCAAGCAATTCAAGGATACCATGCGTTACCTATGGATGCCTCGGTTAGTCGAAAGGATTCAGGCCGCCTCCGCCGCTACCGCGACCGATAAATCCGCGTCGCAGATGTTCTCACGACGAGGGGTTATGGGGGTTGAATATGCGGCGCAACTGACCCCGGAGAATTCGAGCACCGTAACCGTGGCATCATCGTCGGACTCGTTCGAGGCGCAAGTTTCCCCGGTTTCGGATTTAACCAATTGTTACAACAACGGCTTTCACGTTAATAACAACCCTAATCCTGGTTATAGTTTCCAATCCAGCAGCCGAGTTGATTACTCCGACCTATCGGACAATTTCTACAACAACAACCACAACCATGGCGATGTCGGCGACGATTTTCCGACCAACAATTATCAGCCCCTGTTGGATGGTGGTGATCTTTCGGACAATTTGTTGAATGCTGAAGATTTTTTGTTCTTACAGCAACAGTTCAACTTCAACATGTGAAAAAAAATATACGTCTTATAGAATTTGGGGTGAAATTCAACTGTATAGAAACTTAAGGGGGCAATAGAATAATATCCTTGGAATTCTATGCGTAGATTGTAGAATTTGTCTAGTGGTTGATGAGTTTAGTTTGTATTTTGATACTTTTGTCTTCTTCTTTTATTGGGGAAATTTGTAATTTGAGACTTTTGTTTTCAATTATTCATTTTAATCCCATTCATAGATATTGGTCTTATTGTGGTTTTAGTTCCTCTATCATATTGAAATTTTCGACTTAATCCCTCTATTGTTACGGACAATATGTTATATTCCACCGTTTAATCAGACATCCTATTTATCTAATTTTAATTATTAGTGCGTTTTAAACTAATTAAATTCCTTTCACACGTTTTGATTATGGTTTACGTGCTTCTTGTTTGACGGTAATAACTATGGTATTACGTGGTTTATGGTGTAATTGAAATATAGTCCCTCTTGAACATAAAACAATTCAATTTAAAATGAAATTCATAGTTAGGGATAAAATTATAATATTTAAAAGTTTAATGACCAATTTAAAATGAGTCATAGTTTGGAGTGAAAGTAGAACATTAAAATATTTGAGAACCAATTTAAAATGAAGAATTAGTTTGAGGGTTTATGATTGAATTAACTTTTTTTAAAATGAAAAATAATTTATAGCCGGTGATGGCAACCATCTTCGTGTGTGAATACGAAGATACACACTATAAAGGGTGGTGGCACGTGTGAAAAAAAAAGGTGGGCGAAGCACGTGATGGAATAGTGTAGAAAGAGGGATGGCGGCAGGGGAATCTCTGTAGGCCATGTGCCTATGGGAGAAAACAGCCATGTGCCATGTGGTCCCATAACTGTTTGTGTTAATATTGTGACACGTGTTTTATGTACGGAGTTTATGTTTTTCTTTTCCCGCTTGAAGATTCCCAGCAAAGCCTCCCAGCGGCAACTCTTGAAACAGCCCAATGCAACAATTCCACGTCAGCCTTACGATTATTTTATCTATTTTATATTAAAATCGGTATGGGGTGTGCAAATTTAGATATCAGATTCGATTCAATCTGAAAATTTAAATATCCAAAAATTTTAGATATCTAAAATAGTGATTTGTATCTGATCCAAAAAAACTCGAATATCTTAATTTTTGGACATCCAATATTTTAGATCGGATATCCGAATATCAGAATCTAAATTTAAAGTGTAATATGAAAAAAAATTAATTTTAAATTTTAAAGTTTGTGATTTAATGTAACTTATTCAATACTTATACTATATATATATATATATTTAATTACTCACACACAATAAATAATTAAATATTTTAATTTTTATTATGTTAGAACTTTAATGGGTTGGTAAGTTACTTGGACTACAAGGTAGTTTTTTTGGTACATTACCGTGGGCTCCAAAACTATTTAGGGGAGAAGGGATATCAAAAAATTATTTTGGGATTTACGTTATTTCCTATAGTGCATAATAAACTCGTCATTTTGAGGTACCAAGTTTTATTATAAAAATATTTTTTTTAAATTTTTAATATAAATTTATTTTTTAAGAAAAAATTAGAATTCGTCACCTCAAGATGAAGAGTCTCTTTTAACGTTACAAATTATCATTTTTAATATCTAAACTATCCTTTGATATTTGGTAAACTACATGTTTAATATATAAACTATCATTTTTGTTTTCTTTTAGTATCTCAATTTTTATTTTTTTCAAAATTATACATAAATTTTACTTTTTTATTTCATTTTGGTACTTCGATGTTGAAAGTTTAGCGGAACAAGCATGACATTTTTATGGGTAAATTACATCATTTATTACTCAACTATCTTCTCACTCCTATTTTGGTCAATGTAGTTTAATTTTTAAATTTTGTGACATCATATTTTTATTATTAATTTATTAACATATAATTAAAATAAAGCATTAAATTTAATAACTTTCAAATTACTCCTAATTTAATCACTCTAACTTTTAAATTTACTTTTAACAGCGAGGTACCAAAACAAAATAAAAAAATAAACTTTAAATATAATTTTGAAACAAATAAAAATTTAAGTACCAAAAGAAAACAAAAATGATAATTTATATATTAAACATGTAGTTTACACAATACCAAAATTCGATATTTTTGCATGGGTATTGTTACACAAGAACTCGTCACCAGTTCCAAATTTAAAAGAAAAATCATATTAAAAATTAAAAAAAAAAGAATTTCACAAGAAATATTTAAATATTAGACTCGAAATAAAAAAATAATATCTTATGAAACACGTCATCTTGAGATGATGAGTTCGTCCTGCACTGTAGAAAAAGTCGTATATCCCAAAATAATTTTTGAGGCCTTATTGGGCCAAATAATTATTTCGGGTGCCCTATTGGGCCAAAAAACCTAAGGGGTATCTAGACTCTAAAAGTCCAATATATTTTAGGATTTTCAGATAAACCGAAATTGAAATTTATCTGATTTGTATCCAATTCGATTATCAGAATTTTATTCCGATATCCAATCCGAATCATCCAAAATTAAAAAAAAAACATTTCAGATATCCAAATTTTCGAATCGGATCTTTTTGCACACCCCTATAATAAACTGCTACAAAGATCAATTTTGTTTTCATAAAATATCAATTTAAGCATAGAAATATTATTGTTTATCATTTTTTTCACATTCTTAAACAACCTAAAAATTCTCTCAACCTCGTAATCCAATAAAGTCTCCTGTCACTAATCTTGGTCATTTGATCCATGGCTTCTCAAATAAGGACTCATCTGATCGTAATTTTTCATATAAGGACTCATTTGATCCATCTCTTAATTTTGATGAAGTTCTATTTCGAAAGCGATCCCCCCTTAACCACAAAACAAATCGATGGAGTTTCAACCGAAGTTTTAATCGATGGAGACATCATGTTCCTAAGGCGTAACAACTTAAGGAAATGATCCTGTTGGGTTTCCACTATTGGTATCCAAGTTCATTGTGCTTATCTTCTTTCCCCACTAATCTCAAAACCCAATCCTATGATTTCATATCATACCAATGTAGTACATGTTTGAACTAATATTGTACTCAGATGTTCATGATTAAGAAACTTATTGAATTATCAAAACATGACTAAATTCAAGTCACCTAACAAGTTAGTGCCAATATTTATTAATCCATCTTGAAAATAGAACCAAATTAAAGTTCATCAAGAAGTTTGGGCCTAATTTTTTAATCGATCTTGAATTAAGGATCAACTTGAAGTTAATTAAGAAGTTAGGGCCAAAATTTACTAACCATAATTAGGACTAGATCATAAGATATTAGAATATTCAAGCCAGAATAGTCAAATTATATATATAAGAAAACTGACTACTAAATCTTAAAACATAACATGACCAAATTGAGTGAAATATAAAATTGTATAGCCTGAATTATCAGATATTTAACAAATTAAGGGCCTAATCAAAAGTCCACCCAAAAGTGGTAGGACACGAAGGCAATTTCCCGTAAAACTAGTCAAATTTGATATAATTGTAACACCCTAATTTAGGGGCTAAATTTAAGAAATTATAAAGTGGTGGATTTAATTGGTATTTTAGAAAGAAACGGTGGATTTTGTAAAATTTCAAAGTTGGCAGACCATTTTAAGAAGTGCAAGAAATTCAGTGGCTAAACTCATTATTTGACCATTTTTCTTTTGGGATGAATTATAACACTCATTCCCGTATGTTTTTTTTTCAAAAAAACATCAGTTTTCCCCTTCCCCCTCAACCCTTCTTGCAACTTCGATCTACTCGTCGTCCGACCTCCGATCGACGAGCCGAAACCACCATCGTGTTCGTTGTCAACCGAAGAACAAAACCCCTCAAACCTTTCGTCGTGAATCGTCGCCGTTCGTCGTTAATTTCAGTCGGAAGTATCACCGGTAATAACTTGATTTCAATTGGTTTTTTGTCGATTCACGACGATTTGAGCATCCGTTTACGACACCTCCTGCACCATCGTGTTCCTTGTATCGTTCCGAGTCTGTCAGTGTCATCGTTGGTCTCCGTAGACGGCGGCGCGTGAGGAGGTGAAGCGGTCAAAGTTTCTGATTCGTTGAAATCGAGCACTCCACCGTTCAAAATTGTGAACCGAGCTTTGTAAGTGCCTTGAAATCGCTTAAAATAATTTTTAGAAATTTTTCGGGGAATTTTTCGACACCATAGCACTGTTCACGTGCCCCCACTACGCGTGGGGAAGGGAAAAATGACCTGTTTGACTGGTTTTGGAGCTGTTTTGACCGGTTTGACCGGTTCCAACCGACCCGACCCGTTTACCCGACTCGACTCGTTGACCCTACCCAACCCGTTGACCCGACCCGTTGACCGGTGTTGACAAAAAAAAATTGACGGGCTTTGACCAGGCATCAAACGACCTTTGACTTTGATCGATTATACCTATCCTGATATTTTTCGATATTCCAAATCCGATTCTGCAGTATATTTTTCGAAATTCGAATCCGAAGGCCTCGAAATTGCCAGTCAAACCCGTTGACTTTGATTTTGACCAAAAATTCTAAATTTTCGAAAAGTCATATTTTATGCTTTCGACGTCCTGAATCCGAATATGAAGTCTGTTTCTCCAAATTCGAACACGGTAAGCTGTTTTTCACTGATTTATCATCCGATTCGATCCGTTTTTCAGAATTAAGCTCCGTTTTAATGTAATTTCTGTTGATATGGATCCGAGGAAATATTGGAAGATGATTTTAAGATCAAGGGTATTCGAATGGAATTTAATGGTCGATCAGTATGGCACGGAAATTGAGGTAATATTTTACTACCTCTTTATGCTTTATGGAATATGTTGATATTGGTAAATGCATGAATAAGATAATGTTGATCACTTTTATGGAGTTGATTAATTTATACACTCGATATGAATGTGGTAGAAATTCGATAACTGAATACAGATCGAATGATTAATATAAGAGATTGAGGGATTGTTAGAATTAAATTACAAGTTGTGATTAGTGATAAAGAAATAAGCCATGGATTTGTAACTTATATTTTATATCATCAAATG